TGTCAACTTGGCCACAGTCACTAGATATTTGGTCAATCACCAGTCTGGATATTGCCATGAAGTTATTTTTAGGATTAGATTAACATTTAAATTCATGGTCTTTGAATAAAACAGATTATACTCCATAATTGGATTACATAGTGTCAAATACACCTTTTACATTTGAATTTTATCTTTTTCTTTGAGTTTATTTTTTGTTGTTTATTGAGTTTAGAGACAGAGGAAGGTGGAGGGGAGAGGGAGAGGGAGGGAGGGAAGAAAGGAGGGAGGGAGAGAGGGAGAGAGAGAGAGAGAGAGAGAGAGAAACATTGAGTTTGGAGCTAAACAAAAAAATTCAAAGATATCCATTAACTTATTCAGGTTTTGCTAACACCATCAATTTAGCAAGTTCATAAAGTTAAATTAACTTCTCCTTATTCCCTACTTCTACTAGTGGTGCCATTATTCCTAAAAATACCCAGAACCTATATTTATGGTTTACTTTGATTCCTACCTTTTGAACAATTATCATGTCAAATTGGCAAGTCCTGTTAACTCTCCCTTCTTCATGTGTCTATGCATCTATTCAATTTTTCCAATACTATTACCACCACCGTAGAGCAACAATTTTCAACCTTTTTCATCTCATGGCACACATAAAGTAATTACAAAATTCTTCAGCACACTAAAATATTTATTATATTTTTTTGCTGATCTAACAAAAAACAGGTCTAATTTTGTTCATTTATACTGGATGGCTATTTTTATGTTGGCTGTTGTCAATTTTTATTTGACAATCTAAGAGAAAATAGGTCATTGTCCCTGACTAAATAGTCAGGTATTGCATGTTATATTTTAAAATCCTCACCTGAGGATAAGTTTATTGAGTTTAGAGAGAGAGGAAGGGGGAGAGAGAGAGAGAGAGAGAGAGAGAGAGAGAGAGAGAGAGAGAGAAACATTGATAGGTTGCCTCCCAATCAGGATTGAAACCACAACCCAGGTATGTGCCCGTCATGGAATGGAACCCACAAGTTTTCTGGTGTATGGGACAATGTTCCAACCAACTGAGCCACCCACCAGGGCAGGTATTACGTATTTTAAATTTTCTGTGGCTCACCCGCGTGCCTGCCTTGGGACACAAGTTGAAAATCACTGCTCTAGAGTAAGTGCATAGCTTCATGCCTCCAACACCAAAACAGATTTCCAATATCATTTGTTCTACTTATCCCACAGCTTTTCCCCAAATCCCTTTTGCAAATAGCCACTGGCACTGGCCCCAGATAATTTTTGGATTACAGTAGCCATTATATTATGGAAAGAACACAGAGTAAGAAGACTCTAATTTGAAGTAACTTTTTTTCTATTCACTGGGGTGACCTTGGGAAGAATTCCACAACTTGATTCCATCATCTACTAAAAGGGATCTCTTGAGAGGATTGCTGCAAAGATTTGGTAACTTGTAAATGGTGATAGCAAAGCACCTGTCTCATCTGAGTGCATAATGTATCTTTATTAAATGAATAAATATGTTCTTCTTTACCGATTTTCTTTTACTGAGTTAATCTGCTTACATATTATCCTTGCCTCCTCTCAACATTTTCAAATGCTATTTCTCCTTCAAGGCAAGCTCAAATCTGACATTTTTGATCTTTCCTTACCTATTTCTACCACTATGGAAATGTGGATCACAGGTGTTATCTGGCCTTACATTGTGAGGTAGCTTTTGGGTTTTCGTGTACAATGGTTTTTCTTTAAGTAGATGCACTACTTTGACTAGTTACCTACTTTCTACAAAGTATCAGGTATTTTTAGAGTGTTTTCTGAAATTGTGGTTGTTTGTTTTTTTATTTGTTTTATTTAGCCTGTTCAGAATTCCTTCCTTTTTTCATAAATGGTACTCTGGCTTTTTGACATAACCCACTCTGACACCTCTAAACCCTTTGGGTCAATGATTCCACATAACCACACCCACTACATCCAAGAGCTTAACAGGAATCCTTCCTCACTAAAGGAGAAAAAAGAAACAGAAGCACATTCTTCATGACTTATATAAATTTCATTATTTTGTTGTTTAAATAAGCACAAATTTTAATAATATATTTAAAAGTTTCAAAGACCACTTCTGTATTTCAATCTGTAAAAAATATTTTCATTATGTTTATTATAAAAATATAAATGTTCCCACTACAAATCATTTTACATTAGTAAGAGGCCATCTACATTGTACAACATAAACTAAATGAGTAATGTTTTGAAAAGACAAGTTTAAAGTAAGTACATATTTTCAATCATATCACATTTATACATGGTTTTGTTGATACTTAGTACAGAATAATCTGGGCAAGGTACCAGAAATAAATAATATATGTAAATCAAGTTTACGATACAAAACAGATAATATGATACATATCATTGTATGGAGATATGGTTTCATGTTTATGGAAAGTCAATGCAGTTCTTGTACAAAGAGATGGCCATCAGCATCTAGTACCTCTACTGCACAGTTAAGAATCGTACACTGTTATGTTTACATATGTACAGGATAAGAATTGTGTAAAGTAAATGTATAAGAGGTCGGGTAGAAAAATAGTGAACAAAATGAAGAGCAATATACTGTGTATATGACTTCTGCTTTCAAATGGAAACCATAGCCAAAATAACAATCCTCAACTTCTATTAGTTCATGAAATGCACAGATTTCGTTGAGTATGCTCAGAATACAAAAGTAAATGCTTGTTTGGGATAAAATAAGATTAAAGCCAGAATTAGGTTTCAGTCTAACATTCCACAACATAAAAATGGTTTTAGCTGCTTCTAGGCTTAAGTAAAATTTGTAATTAATGTTATCATTGCATATAACTTTATAAAAATTCATGCTCTTATATATCCAATATAAAATTCTAGTTGGATGATTTGACTGTAAGGATTATTGCCAAATTTAAGAAATAATCTCATATGTGAAGGAACACAACCTAAGCCTTATTACAGTAAACTTACAACATATTAGCACTTGTGAATTTTGATCTGATTGTAAGCTATATAATGTTCCATTTTGCATAAAAACATAAAGTTTGCAGTATTGTTTTATCCATTGTATTCTTATGACATATGCATTTATTATCCTCATAAAGTGATCATATCAGCATTATAAGATATAGATAGAATGTTTTAGTGGCTAGATCTATACCAGGTACAGCTTTTCAAATATTACTGATTATGCTCATATTTGACCTTTATGAAATAGTAAGTCTAAGTTTCCACAATGAGAGATCTCTCCACTGCCTACAGATTTTGAATCATTTTCTAGATAACCATTTTATGTATTTCAAAATAAAACTGTTTATGTAAAGTAGTTTAATGCTTCTAATTTATACACCAACATTACAACAGGTGCTTTTCAGTGGAAGACTCTTTAAGATAACAATACCTGCTATAGATTATTACAAAGTTTAGTTAATTAAACTAAACTCCCATGATTCAGATGAGTAGTTTAGTTAAAATCATTAGCTAAAAACAGCTCAGCAATTATAAGCTAAGATATTGAGTGACATTTCAGAGCCTGCCAGAAAGTGATTGCTTTTTACTTATGCATTGGCCAACAGGCTGTGTTGCCAATTAATGCAGCAATTGAAATAGGATTCCAATTATTTACAGTGTAGCTATTCTCTATTTAGGAGCTCTAACTTAACTTCTTTACCAATGAATGGTTTCCTAAACACCAGAATAGGGCAGGTATGCCATTGAGAATCCATTACTTACAAGCCAGTATATTACACTAAATTAGGAGCATATAGTTTATACTAAATGGAGAGACAAAAATATGTGAGATAATTCAGGCTGTGAGAGATTTGGTTAGTGAATGAACAGGGAAATGATTTGGTTTCCATATATACATGGATGTTTTGAAAATCTGGAAAGAAACCCATCATTCCCTATGTTTAGTTTTCCATGTTTCCTACTGCTGACAATTTGAGAGAGCATTTGGCACTTGGCTGTAACAAATCCAAATTAAATCATTGAGGCATAAATAGAAAACAATAAAAACAATTAGAAAGAAAATAAATATGTACTTTTCTTCAAAATTAAGACACATTTTACATGATAATACTTAACAAAGCTAATAATTATAAATGTATGGTACTTAAAACAGCTACAAACTTTATATGCTTTTTAACAGATAAAAGAGAATAATACAATGAAAAGGTAGTAAATATGGCCAGATAGTTTGAGGTATAAATTCCTCTGTTTTCTTGCTTTTAAAGAAAAAAAATACCTGTTACAGATTTCTTCTGTGTAGAAAAATATCACAAGTCTTTCCCTTTGTGGCTAGTAGTGAACAGAGCCATTATGTTCATTTTGTTATTTCACTTGTTTTGCTTTTATAATAGTCAGTATATGATCCATGGCTCTAGGCTAGCTCTTCATCATTTCATGCTGAAGAATTTTAATTTCATCCATCAACTAATATAAAAAATCAATTGCAAAACAAAATAACACCCACCCACCAATCCACTTAATGATATGGGAAAATAAAGAGTTTTTAATTCCATTTTAAGGCATTTGTACTCATATATGAGTGTCTTATAGGGCTTGAAACTTCCACCAGTATCTCCCGCATTATCATCTGTCTGCAGAGTGATGCTACATCTTCCACAGCCACCACTCCCTTTGAGAAATAGCCCTTTACACTGGAACTGGACCATTCTTTGATTGTGTTTCTAGAGCTTTAATGCTACTGATGATCTTCTTCTGTGGCCCAACCACAGTGACACCAACCTTTTTCATGTCACTGTAAAAAAAAATAAAATATTTGGTGAGAATCATGCTCTCCTGGATAATATGTAAGCATGAGATTTTCAGTTAGCAAAGCTTGCGAAATCATCCATCTTAGTGGTTTGGACATAATTTTTATTTTTACATCATCCATATATAGTATCCTGGCCATTTCACCTGTAATATTGTAGAAGAATATAAATGTTATATAAATGGGTTCAATAGTGTCTCCTCAAAATTTATGTCCACCCAAAACTACAATAGGCTCTTGGTGTATGTAATTAAGACAAAGATCAAGATGAGATAATACTGGGTTAGGTTGGACTCTAAATCTAATGAGACTATTCTTATTAGAGTCAGAAAAGGACACACAGTGACAAAGAAGAGATACATGTGTAGATGGAAGCAGAGATTGGAGTTATGTTGCCATAAGCCAAGGAATGCTGGGATTCACCAGAAGCCGGAAGAAGTGAGGAAGGATTTGCCCTTAGGGACTTGTAGCCCTGCTAACATCTTGATTTCTGACTTCTGGACTCCAGAAATGTGAGAAAACAAATTTTGGTTGTTTAAGCCAATACATTTGTGGTAGTTTGTTATGACAGCCCTAGGACACTGATATAGATGGTCACGTATTCTTCGTAGGGGCATTATCCCATTCCCTTGAATCTGGGCCAGCTCCAGGCCTACTTTGATTGACAGAGTATGTCAGAAGAGACACTGTATCAGTTTCTACACTTGGGTATTCAGGAACTGCCAGATTCAACTTCTTTTCCCTTGGGACACTCTCTCTGGGCCTCAAAGTGCCATATATGAAGTCTAACTTCCCTGAGACATTGGAGAGGCCTGCAGTCTCCATGATGTAGCCATGTGCACCATGTGACAGGAATGAAACCATCTCCAGCCCTCCAGAAAAGGCCATATTCCTATTAGATGAATACTCCAGTCAGCACTGACACTACAGCAGAAGACCTGCCTGTCTAGCTCTGTCCAAATTTATAACCCATGGCATTGTGATATGCAAGAAAATTGTTGTTTTGGTCTTTAAGTTTTAAAACAGTTTGTTGTCAGCCATAGACAACTGGAACAATTTTTTAAAAGTAGAAGAAATTATAAGAATTGATTTCTATCAAAGTTACTAAATTTAAAATAGTTTAATCTCAGAAACCAGACATAAAATGAAGATTATAGAACAAAAAAAAATCATTAAGAAAAAATGTTATATGAACATGTGCAAATCACTAATTAAATAGTCTTGACTCAGGTAATTATTTCATATATTCACCTCTTTCAGATATTGACTCAAACCTCCCCATCTCATGAGATCTTCCTGACCCTTCTATTTAATATTGTAAAACCTCTCTATATTCATACCTCCACTTCATATTTTATTTTCTTGTTTCATTTTCTTCCATTTTTACTGTTCAGCATATTACCTTTCTGATTTATTTTCTTAATTCTCTATTTTACTCCACAAGAATGTGAATTTCATACGAATAGGCATTCTTGTTGGTTTTGTACTCTGCTTATCAACCACACTCTGAATAATGGTTATCATTTAGTAGGGGCTCCATATATTCTTACTAAAGAATAAATCAATAGCCCAAAATACAATTATCTGGGGAAATTGATAGAAGAGTAAAGTATCACTTGTCAAAGAGACCCAGGCAAATTGAGAATGTTAGGAAGAAAACACACACACACAGACACACAGACACACATACACACACGCACACGCACACGCGCACACACACATGCTCGCGAGCACATGGGCACCTTTATATTGAGCCTAAAGGAAAGAATGAGAAATTGGGACTTTCAACTTCAACTACATAGTAATGGACTAATGATTCCTTAAGAAATGAGTTCCCAAGCAGTAAAGCTGGACACGTAGAAAATAGGTAACAATTTAAGAAACAATTTAGATGATAATTAATTATTTCCTGCATAAAATTAACCAAGACTGGTTGAATGCCTATCACCTGAGTTGGCAATGAAGTTTCTGATGATCTACAGGTCACCACCCTGATGCCATTCAAGGGGCTGATAAATTTTCTATGGACACCTTGTGTTTTTCCCAAGGTCCTCTCTGATCATACTCTTCAGCTGCCTTGCTTCACCAGGAAGGCTAGTGGGAAGTGACATCAAACTTGTCACTCTTCATGTAACTGTGGATAATGAAACTTTCACTTAGAGAATATAAGCTGTTTGCATTGATCCCCACTAATGAAAGAAAATACATTCTCTGGGGGATTTTGATTCTTTATATACCTTTATATACCTTCAAAATGAGCAACAAACATTTCCATCCTAGTCTCCAAATTATTTCAAAGTCAAGTTATGAATATACAGCCAGAAAACAAGGCAGATATAAATATGTGTACAAATCAATAGATCCTGTCTCTTTTTGTATTTCTTTTAACATATTTCTTCCAATTCTATATCATATTTTTATGACTCACTAATATTTATCTCTTCTTTTTCTGTTTTTTTTTTTAAAGCTCAAAAAAGATAATAATGGATAGCAGGAAAAAAAGAATGTTTCAAGGTCAAATACTAATTTCCTGAGCTCTTTGAGAAATTTAAGCACAATGACAGAGTAATATGACACAGTGCCATGCTATGTCTCTGGGCTCTGACCTCCCTCTGGAGCACCTGGGCCTCAGCAGCCAGGTAGACATCAGATGCTGAGCATTCACAGAACTCTCTGAAGGGCCCCCCAACTCTGGGGCTCTTGAT